CAACGACCAATGGCGCCTTTCGGGGCCTACGTAAATATCCATCATGGTACCGGAGAGAAGTCTGTCGCGTTGTAGTTTAGCTTTTGCACGAACATGCAATTGCTGGGAATAGAGGCGATGCGTAAGAGCCGGGCGTAGAGCAATGCATCGTGAAGGTGCTTGCGTCTGTTGCGCCAGCTCCAATTGCGACGCGTCGGCTGGCGGCGCATTCATCACCAACTTGTCTTCGTCTCCCGACAAAGTCTGCGGTGCGCCGGCCTCATGGCCATGGTGGGTGGAGAAGAGATCGTCTACGTACTCAGCGAATGTTGCGGCAGGCACATGGCCGATGCTTCCAGAAGCCATGCGTGATCGACTAGAACCGGGAATGGCGAAATCACGATGGTAGACTCTGTTGTCTTGCCACATGCGGCGCGGTTATGGCGTTCATAAGTGCGCGATGGCTGTCGCGTATGAGTGGAGATGCCTGAAGAAGCGGTCGAGACTCGTGAGTAGATATAACGTGTCTTGGTGATGCGCAGACCCCGTGCTGTGCTGTAACTTGTTGAGCGGAGAAGCAAGCAACATGGCTGGGGGTGGCTTGCGTGACGTCGTGGCGTCTAGACCGACTCCATTCGACAACACCACCGCAGATTTCATCCGTCTCGTTGCTTTCTCATCACCGCCTTCTACCATGAAACATCCCCCGGAATTTCCATGCAGCTTCTGCTAGCTACGTGTCTTTGCTTTTGACAGAACCGGTCCTGGTTCCACTGACTTGCGGGGCCTGCAGGTCCACGGTACCACCAAGGATTTTATTGCTTTTTCCGAAACGCTCTCGCAGTGAGGACATGTGCGACACCAACATACCGTGCACTGTGTCGGCTAACCTACAGTATCTCATTATACTTTCGTCTTATAGCTTTCTTTCCTACCACTTCCATGCGCAGGGTTCCGGGGACGGGACTTGCCTCACATGTCACCCAGCCTCGCCTTCTTACTTTTCGTTACTCTAATCGCGCCTTTTCATGGCTACTGTCACCTTCTACGTCGCTCAAGTATCTTGGCGCTGCACAGTCACACATGACCGTACGTATACCCAGGTAACCACGCGCTGACTCCCAGTCTGGTCACGTGACGACACAAAATTTCTACAAAGATATTACCCAATTTTGTGGGGACTGCATCGCTGGCAATCGACGATATATGCTAAAGCCGCTATTATGACGTGTCTTCATTCTTGTCGTTTCATCTCAAGTTACCCCACCCCAATCGGCATGCTAAGCTGCCATTGTCATTGCCCTTTTGCTGTCCCTCAGTTCTCCGCATTCCTGTGGACCTGCACATTATGCTGCGTCAAAACAGCTCACTGCATATCTACTTTGTAATTTTCCATTTCTAGGAATCAGGATGTAATGTCTGTACACTCACTCAGCTTCGACTAATGGTTCTTCACTAGGAACAAATGTTTCCCTCCAAGCTCTTTTCAAACCGAGTACATGCATTTCCGAGCCATCCGTAGCAACCAGATCGGTCGTCGAGCTTTCGCAACGCTGACTTTCTTTCGACAATGCTAACCAAGCCTCCAACAGTTTGTAAAGCAGCGAGGGCGTTCCTGTCACCGGACCGATGGCTGGAAGTACGCCCTGGCAATGCAGGTTTGCTCCGACGCGAGCCATAGCCATCGCATCCAGTTGATCTCACCAGGTTGGGACGTGATATGAGTAACATGTCAAATAATCTAGGCCTAGTAACTGCAGGTCTATCAAAACCGAGAGTACAACGAGTGCTGCCTTTGCAAGAACAGAAAAGTCCTCAAATGATTACATCGACGTAGCAAATTTGCGATCATAGAGAACTCCTAGCCTTACATATTTCTCTACTCAGGTACATGCACTCCAACTGACAAGATTCCCAGGTCATTCCATGCCCGTCTTATCCGTGATGCTGTACAAGCCAAGCCATTCGCAAAAGCAATCTTTGAAACATTTTTTCCAAAAAGAATTCAGAGCATAATCCAAGCTATTTTTCTTCCGAGCCCATTGACCCTCCTTATCCTCTACACGGCCGTATGGGTTTTGATAAGGGCGCAGCAGACGGGAATATAATACGGCTTGAACTCGCAGGCTACCATCTATCCTCGAACGAGGCTGTGATGTTTTCCTTGTTTTCATATCTGACAAAAGCTCCACCTGGTGCATCATGTCCATCTTCTCCATCTCCATTGGGCGGTAAAAGAAAATTGGGCAAGGTGATTGGCTCCACATTTGAAGAAGTCCTTACAGGCAAGCAGCCATATCCACCCCAGATAGGACAGCAAGCTGGTGATCGGAAACCGCAATCACGTTTGAACGCCTCAGGGTTATGTGGTAGCGTTTTGCGATCCAGTTTGTTGCATTCCATCTTTAGGTGATCATATTGGTCATACTTGCAGCAGTAAAGCTCCGTGAAGTATGGGACGGTACACATATAAGAGCGGTCGTGTCTCACGACGCCCTGGTATGTGAGGGTCT